TATTCAATTTGTTATTCTTTTCAATGGGGATAGGATTATGGGGAAGAGAATTTAGGGTTGGGGGGTAGGTATGGATAGAGAAAGGGTAAAATTCCAGAGAATGAGATCGTACATTTACATCAACTTGTACACTTATACTACAAAGAAAGATAAAACGAAACCAGATTTTCCCAGTATTACTATAGTTACTAATCTATCTATTCCCTAATTGGACCTTCACATTCTTCTTTAATCTATGCTTTCGAGACTATCTTTCGAGTCTAATCATGGGATTATTCTGTTTCCTCCAACTCCATGACTTCCCATGTCTTTCCTGTTCGGTCTTCTAAGTCCAGGATATCTGTTTTCTTCTATTATTTTCCACCTAATAACTCAACAGTAGAGATTGCCTATATTTTCAAATATTTCATTTCTCTAACATCTCGTCTATTATTCAATAAAAAGAACAAATCCAATTTAAATGTCACGTGGAACAGAATGTTTTTCACTTTCATACACCTACAGTATTTCCCTATATATCCATCAAGCATAATAGAAGTGTCCTCCTGTTTATTTCCAATCCCATTTAAAAGCGTTTTTATACTTAGTTTTTCTTTTTTTTAGAAAACTTTGTTGGGGTTGTGTACCATCAGTAACTCATATACCATCTATAAAGAATCTTATTTATATTTTCTTTAGTAGTTGCTGTTTTTTGGACTTTAATATTCTTCTACCATTTTATACCCATTTTATTCTAGTCTTTAACCACTTCATTTTTCACTTTCATGTGTTATTCATTTAGTCCATCTTTATCGTTGTGATTTTCTTTCTTCCTCCTGGATCTTCTTGTTTCTATAGTGCACTTTCCTTTGAAAGTTCTCACTTATGTTATGTTATTTGTATCCTTATCAATAATTTGCCTGTATCAACTCTGACCCCCTCATGTTAAATGCCAATTATGTCATCAACGATTTGAAGATGTATGATTTTTTGTCATCCTATTTTTAAATGGAATGTAATACAAATCAATTTCTTCCTGCAAGCTCTGGAGAAAACGACACATGCTCACAAAGGATTCAATATCAATCAAAGCTGATTGGAATATCCATAATGTTGCTTGTTGTTATATATTTTTCCTGCTTATGCTAGCCTTTCTTTCTTCTGTATAGTTTTATCTACCACATCCCTGACTTTATTTTGGTGAAGGATAAAAATACTAGTCACCCAATGACTTTAAAATGAGAATCACCCTGAATTAGTGGTGTGGTTCTGAAGCTTTGGCCTTCCAGGTGTATAAACTGCTTCTCTCAGAACACCTGACTGTTGCCCATGCTGAGTCTGGTTCCTGGGAGTTGAAGCCCACATATGGAGAAGACCACCCATTTTGAGAACCAACCACCACATTAGTATAACCTTTTTGCTCCAACCAGTGAGCTATCAGTCATTGGGCATCCCTGAGCAATATGTTGTGAGACTGTGACAAGAGGGCTAGCCAATGGAAAGCATCCAGTGCTTTCCATAGCCTATGAGGTTGTTGGTTCCTGTTGTTTGCTATGAACAATGACTAGGAGCAAAGCTGGGGCCTCCAACATTACCACATACCCATTCTGCGTTGCTCATCTGAACTGACCTCCTTCCCAGGGCCCTGACCAAGGCAAACATTAACCCTTTAAGTGCTGAGTGCCTAGAGCTAGGGAGGAAAGAAATGAAGATATGTCACAGAGCACTGTACAAGGGTTGTTGTTATGCGCACATACTGCCTCTGCTGCAAAACATGTGCAGCTATGTTTTCTAGGTATTTGATTTGTAGTTGTACATCTATTTATTTTCTAAATATTTGATTTATGTTGCTAATTAAGTATTTTCTCCAAGGACACCTGCCTGTTTAATTTCTAATCTATTCTATTACTTCGAGAAGTGCAGTGTCCAAATGTTGTGTATGCTTTGCTTTGCAAGAAACCCATGCAGCCAAATTCAAAAGCTAACAAATTGGAATGGAACCATCTACAGTACTGAAGAAGGGATATTAATCTGAAATCATGCCCCAGGCTCCTGCACGCCACTGTTGCCTCAGGGATGAGGGGGCAAAGGGCAGCTGCCCATTGGCCTCTTGCCAATTGTTTGGGGGTAAAGAATGCATTGATTCCTGGTACCCCTCCAGAGTCCTGGCTTCATGCTGTTGGAATCTGCTTGACAGCTACTATTAGAATTGTCAGCTCTTGAAATAAAAGCTCTGATAACTCTGGACAGGGTCTAGGGCGAGGGCTGTGTATATGACTGAAGAGCTAGAATATGAAGCAGGTCCACAGGGGAAGCAGGAACCAAAAGGTTTCTTGGCAAATCAAAGGACAGATTGTTCACTCAAGGTTAGGCCTTGAACATTAACCAGTTGGCCAGGATTTGCCTGGATTCCAGCCATGTCGTGCAGTGACCATTTGGACTGCCCTCTGGCCTGGATTCCCAGCTTTCATATTTAAAAGTTAGCCTCTGGATCTCACAGAACAGAGACAGAAGACAAAACATCTCATCACTGTTATGCCAATTGTTCTATATGAAGTACCTTTTCTCTGTTCCAGCCAACAATCAACACTAGAGATGGGAAGTATTCATATTCGATACGAATACATATTTGATATGAATACGAATATCCCCACACAGGTGGTGATAACGAGGGTTCAGCCCCATGGGGAGGGATGGTCCACTCACCGATCCGCCGCTGCCGCAGATGCCGCAATTCTTCCAATGGCTTCGCAGGTTGCGATCTGCAAGCCACTCTTCAAACTTGCAGCGAGGCTTGTCCTCCTGCCTCCTGCCAAGAGTGGCTAGCTGATCACGATCTGCAAAGCCTTTGGAAGAATTGCAGCATTTGCAGCAGCAGCAGATCAGTGAGTGGACCGTCCAGCCTTATGGTGCTGGACCCTCGTTATCGCCACCTTTGCAGGGATATTCGTATACAAATATGAATACCCCCCCCTCTAATCAACACCTTCCAATTTCCAATAACTATTGCAATTTGGGGAAATCTTATTCTAACTCACTGTTTCACAGAGCCGCAACAGGGGTGGAGGCCTTAGATACAATCTGTCTATCATTTATCATGCTGCCCTTTCATCTGTTCCCAGAAAGATCAGGACAACAGCCACCAGAAAGATACCGTGACAATGGATGGAGAAGGACTGCAGAAGTGGGATTTTCACTCACCCCAGTCCTTTGTCCATCTAACGAGTCCATTTAGACCAGGGTGAAGTGAAACCAATGTGGAAGATATATCAGGGATCTCCCACCAACTCTCCTCAGACTGAAGAAGCTACTAAAATGAATAGTGAAACATTTCAAGTTAATAAGGAAGAAGTCTAGTTGCTATGAATCAACTTCCAGACAGAATATGGGAACTGTGGAGTTCTGGTGGAATTGAGATCATAGTAAATCTGGCTATAAACTGTGTTATTTTGTACTCATTACAATAATTATTTCATGATATACATTCAGATCAAATGCACAGCATTGTGTGTATGGCTCCAAAGTGTGCAAATATATTCATAGTTGACCTAGAAAATACTTCCTTGGTTCCTGTATCCAGAATCTCTGCCTGAGATTCTGCAGTCTACAGCCAAGTCCCCTGATATAACTAGACTTGCTCAGAATCACAGGACAAACATGGTGAAAAAGGAAATTGGCTGAGCGACCCTAGAACCTAGGGCTAACCTGCTACAACAGCAGTCCCCAATCTTTTTCGGTCCGCAGGCTCTGTGCACAGACTGGTTGGGGGCAGGGGCACCCCTGTCCTCACAGGTGGGCGTATCATGCTCACAGGTGGGTGTGTCATGCTTGCGAGTGGGTGTGTCACACTCAGTGGTTCCAAACCTTGGCTAAACCAGATGTGCTTGGACTGCAGTTCCCAGAAGCTTTCACTGTCAACTGTGTTAACTGGAGTTTCTGGGAGTTGTAGTCCAAAAATACCTGGGTTATCAGAGTTTGTGAACCACTGCCCTAGATAATATATGGGGCTACTAATGATGGAATTGGATAGAAGAGTGGGGGATGAAGTCTCACAACAGCAAAAGAGTGAAAGAAGGAGTTGCTAAGGGGGGGAGGAGCTGTTTAGGACACATGAGTACTCCTGAGGGAGACTCATGACCAAAATACATCCCGCAGTCTTCATTATTACTGATTTCTGACACCAACAGTGGGGCCTGCTTCTCCATCCCCAGTTGGACTGGGGCACTGCTTGCTAACAGGGCAAACGAAAAGCCATCCACATTTACTTCGGCAAAGATTGCATCACATGATGTGTCAACTTATTTTAGGACTGCAAATTAAAGGCATCAAGCGCTGTTTCCTTTCACTCCCCTTGTAAACAAGCAGGATGGGAGAAGAATTCATCAGAGAACTAACTTTATGGTGTTTGGAAATTCGGATTCCACGGCACATTTGTGAGCCCCCTATGACCAGTGTCTCAAAACACAGCCCCAAGGCATGGGAGTAAATAAATAAAATAAATGGGAGGGCACAACTGCGGGGCCTAAAGCACGGAAGACCATCACAGCCAGGATTTCACGCCGTGTTTTCCCTTTTCTTTCTTTTTTTTTAAATGTCTGCTTATCTTCTGGTACATCGCTGTCGCGCCTAGATAAGTGGCCCCCTTCTTAGGGTGGCCCTCACAGGACGTCCCGGGCATGTGAGATGTCCCAAGGCGTGATCCCCTCCACCGCCCCCCCCGAAGTTTCCATGGCCACGCAGAGATTCGAACCCAAGTCCCCCTGAGTCCACGGCGGCCCCTCTGTCCCCTCCATCCCCGCGCCTCTCGCTGCCTGCTGGAGGGCTGCCGGTGGGGCTCTGGCGGAGGCCTCCAGCGGGGCACCGCGAGCGGTTCCCAGGGAAGCGAGACGCGCACCCCGAGCCC